GGAAAAGACTGTTGTTAAACCAACCAATCTATTTAAAATAAATCTTAATGAGATAAATTTAAAGTGTCAAAGTAAAAATATATTCATTCATTCTGCACGTATTTATTGAGTACCTGTTATGTGGCAAAAGGAGTTCTGGTTGTGGAGTGCCTAAGGCATTTGACTGCTAACCAGAAGCTTGGCGGTTCAAACCCACCAGCCAGTCGTGGAAGGAAGACTGGGGCAATCTACTTGCGTAAAGATTTACCACCTTGGAAACCAAATGGGGGTTGCTATGAGTTGGAATCCACTTGATGGCAGTAAGTTTGGTTTTGTTTTGGTTATGTGGCAGGCATTGGGCTAGTGACACAGCATGTACAGTAACTTTGTGGCTCGAATGAATTTATAATGATCAAGGAGCTAAGACAAAACTACTGTGGCTAGAGCTACAAGTGATAGGAGGGTGCTTAAAATTAGCTTGGAAGATAGACCAAGTCCAGATCATTTTGAACATTTTAAGGAGCTTAGACTTTATTTTTTGTGCAGTATATTGGATTTTTCCATTTAAGCTCAAACTTTTTAACTCCATACCTATTCTCAGTTGTTCACCTCCCTTATTCTACTATACTGTAACCCTCATCCTACCATCTTTGCCAGTAACATTCATCGACAGATAACTGATTAATGTTCACTATTGCTTTGAATGCTAGTCAGGAAAAAAAAATTAAAAAATCTTCCATGGTGATACCACCTTGGAAACCCAAGGAGGGGTCACTGTGAGTTAGACCCAACTTGACAGTAGTGAGAGAATCCTAAAGAAAAAACAGTGAGGACAGAAACCATGTCTAGTTTTGCTTCCTCTTGTATCTCCAGTTTATTGTGCAGTACCTGGCACATAGTAGAGGTTCATTAAACATTTGATCATAAAATGCCTCTGGCAGCACTTTGTTATTTCACTTTGGAAATTATAGCTAATATTTCTTCTGAGGACTGTTTAAACATTATTGGATATGTAAATTTAGAAAAATGATACTAAAAAACAACTTACTGACTAATTTCTTCACAGCTGTGAGATAAAGACCTGTCACAAAGACCAAACTTGTGGCTTTCCTCAGAGTGGCTGGCCTTTCTTTATGTCAGTTTCTTGTATTTTCTTTTTTCCTTTCTTCCTTGTTCTAAGGAGGTCTGGTGGTATAGTCCCTAAGGTATTTGAGTGCTAACAAGATTGGACAATCTATTTCCATAAAGATTTACTGCCTCAGGAACTCAGCGGGGGGTGGTATGAGTCGGAATCAGTTTTTTGAATTTTCTTTTTTTCCTTTCTTCCTTGTTATTCTAAGAGATTCTCTTGTACCTCTCTCTCTCCTAAGCCTACCAAGGAGAACTGGATCAGTGCCACAAACCAAAAAAACAAACTCACTGCCATCGAGTCGATCCGACTCATAGTGACCCCTCCTTGGGTTTCCAAAGCAGTATCACTATAGAAATAGATTGCCCCATCTTCGTTCCAGAAGCGGCTGTTGGGTTTGAACCGCCCAGCCTTCTGGTTAGCAGTCAAGTGTCTTAGGCACTATGCCATCAGAGCTCGTGGTCAGTGCCACAGTGCAAAAAGGGCAAGGAGGCCACATATTCTGACCTCCTCTAATCCCGCAAGAGGAAGACAGGATTACAAGCAGTAACCCAAGGCCTATTCCTGCCAGGCCAGACATGCTGCCTCCCTCCAGCCCTTTCTCCACCTGTTCCTCCCAAAGCACCCACCACCTCGCTCCTGGGTTCGATAATTCGCTGCAGTGGCCACACAGAACTCACAGATTACAGGGTTTATTAGGGAAGCACCAGGCTACAATTCAAGTTCAGGAATAACGCTCAGTCTCTCTCCCAGCCCACTGTCCCTCAGCCAACAGTCTCTCACAGTCTCTTTCCCAGCAGTGCTGGTCCCTCAGTGTCTCACTCAGCGATGCGTGTCTTTTGCGTTTCTTTCCCAGCAGCACGTGTCTCTTTCAGGGGTGCGTGTCTCTTTCGGCAGCACGTCTTCCTCAACCAGCAGTCAGAGAGAGTACTGCCCCTAGGAAGCCTCCTTTTGAGCCCGACAGGGTGGTCAAACTAGCCAATCATAGCATCAAGAACTCTAAGCACCTGAGAGAGAGTGGGCACCTCCCAGAACATTGTTTTGTGCCACTCTCAACAGAAATACTCCAGGTGGACAACTTCACCAATCAGGAGCTCCTCAGTTGCTCATAGAAAATCTCACCTTGGAGTTTACAAGGACTTATGGGTAGAAAAGCCACACTAAGTAATTTACTACACCGCACACAGGCTATTGAAAACGCCTTTAGATGGTGGGATATTACTTGCGTTGTTTGTCAGAGTTTGTAGGGGTAGTGTAAGGAGGGTGAAAATCAGTTCTGACAGAATGAGATTCTTCTATAACCGTCTATAAAAATTAGAAACCTTTGGGTTTAAGTGACCAAATCAAGGTAAGGCATGTTGATAACTGTAAAGAAAGGAGTACTGGTCCTTTGTAAAGAAAGGAGTACTGGCCATTTCTTTATTGTGACATAATACTCTCACCTGCTATGTAATTATATCTTTAGTTCTTGGCAGTGAGAAAACTAAGATGGTATATATATTGTGCAAAGAAATGGCAGAAATTTGTTGAATACCTTCTGAATTATTGAGATTGGAATCCTAATTTATTTAAAAACTTTTTCTCTAACTTTGCTTATGTACTACTTCCTTTTAAATATTCTCTTAATTGTCCTTTTTCTAGTGTTTACTATTTAAGATTTTTTACCTATTAGTCTCTAATTCAGTACAATTCCAGAAGTATTTATTGATCACTTGTGTAACTGGTGCTGATTAGATTAGTGTAGAAGCATTATAAACTTGTCTCTTCTCCCGTGGGCATTGAGTCATTGGCATTTCAGTCATCTACTCTGGTTGTTAAGTAGGCTGCTGTTAGTACAAACGAAGAATAGACATGCCCTCCTGAGCTGTTTTTCAAAGATGGGCATTTATGCTTAAGAGTTAAGATGTAAGCAATTAGATCAGTTTTATCTTCCCCTTCATGTCCCACTTTTCTCTTCCTCCTAAAAAGTGAAATTCAATTGAATGTATAGAATCAGCATTTACGTCGTTCTATATTTTACTAAAATCTTTCCAGTTCTCCAAGGCTTAGCATAGTTACCATCTCTTAGTGCCCCACCAGCAGAGTAGGTCTGGGACAGGAGCCTTAGATTTTGCATTTTAACATGTTCCTTGGTGATGCTCATGCTGCTGGATTCAGACCAGACTGTTTTACTTGCTTTTAAACTCCTGAAGATAAGAATTATCTTTGAAATCTATCATTGCAGCTTTGTATGACTCTATGTGTAGGAGTGCTAACAAACTAAAACCCACTAGTTTTATCTTTCATTTACAAGATAATAAGACTAGAGGACCAGGCTCCATTGGCTTTGTTCCCATGTCCTTAAGCTTGGAGTGTTCTTGTTAAACTTGTTTTACCCACTGTGCCACTTGTCACCACAAAGATATTTGAAGAGAAAGGAGAACTCAGATTTTTCCTAGATACTGCTCAGACTCTATATTTACTGGGGAGGGGGTTGCCTTTAAAAAGATGTTTTCCCCCAGCCCCATATGTCTGAGGATCAGGGCAGTTTAGAATCTCTTGGAACCATCCCTTTGAACAGACTTAGGGACCGTGGGCTAAGGGGTGTTGATGACCATTAACTTATCAGACTCAAATATATGAGAGATGTTGTTAAGTGCTGTTGACTTTTGACTCATGGCAAGCCCATATGACAGAGTAGAACTACCCCGTAGGGTATCCTAGGCTGTACTCTCTATGGAAGCAGATTGCCAAGTCTTTTTCCCAAGGAGCGACTGGGTGGGTTTAACCTCCAACCTTTAATTACCAGCTGAGCACTTAATCATTGCACCAACAGGGCTCCTTACATAACAGGATAAGAGATGTCAAAAATATGCATCAGTGTGATTAGTCTCTGGAGCAGTTGAGAATAGTCTGTCACTCTCATTTTTATCTATTTCAGTCATCTTTCTCAAAATTTCCTTTAACTCATCCCTCTGTCTCTTTATTTCCGATACTTCACTGGGAGCTGTTTCTTGCTCTTGTTCCTGTGTTTATTTATCTGTGCTTCTACAGTGATGGCTTTCTTCCCCCCCAAGTCCCCTCTGTTTTGGTTACCTCTGTGCTGTTCTAACAGGAAATATACCACACATGGGATGGCTTTAACAAACAGTTTATTCTCTTACAGTTTAGCAGCCTGGTTCAAAATACCAGGCTCTAGGGGCTGGGTGAAAGCTGCTCAACCTTGGGCTTCATTTCTGCTTCCTGCTCCCGGCCCACTAAAGCTGGAGGCTTTTCTTTACTCAGCTGCTGGCTACTGAGGCTGACAAACCCAAGGTAGACAAGGAAAAAGGCACAGTCCTGATATTACCAAACCACACAGCAGGCCATTAATTTAAGTCCATTAAAAGTCCCAAGATTGGCAGAGCATGGCAGACTGCTGAACAATGACACGGCTACATGCAAGGTTCAAGAGTGCTAGAAGCTAGAGACCATTCCCAAAGCTGCTGTGCTTATATACTGCAAGCAGGCCACATCCCTAAAGCAGCTGCTCACGGCAGACCCCACCATGGCGTTGATTGCCAGTCTCATCATGGGGAATAACTACCACCAGCTGCCCAGCCACTCAACCAGGCCCAGCCTGGTTAAGGTTGACACACAACCTTAACTACCACACCCTCTTTATTCAATGGCTACAAAAACAGGTTTTATATAAATGACACCATCAAAACTTCAGAAGACAGATGAGCTACTAATCCTAATATGTCCCACTTTGTGTATCCTTTCACTAGACTTTTAAATACTCTTTGCTGCATTCATCTTTATATCAAGCTTAGTATAGTAGGTATGAGAAAACTGGGAATATACCTTTATATTATAATTTTTTATAATTATTAACTTTAAACATGCTTTTGCCCTTTTTTTTTTTTTTAAGGAAGAGGAAACAGACAATGAAGAAAACTTTCTTGATCTCAACGTTTTAAAGGCCCAGACCTATCACCTGGTAAGTTACATTCAATACATAAGGACCAACAAGCCATCAGTACACATATTCTGTTAGAAATGGAAATGAGTAGAAACTATTACTAGCCACTGTTTCATGTATCATTTGAAAAGCAGCTGTCAAAATTATTTTCTTATATATAAAATGTCACAATTATAGCAAATATAAAGATTCATAGGAATGAGTTGGTCAGCCTCCTACCTATACCATGCAAAATCCACACGGTACTTCTTGTGCAAACTGAAAATAATTTATTTGCCAGATAGTATTTTTTATTATGGAAGACCTATTTCAAGTTATTTTATATTAAAAAGATCATTAAAAAGTTAAGTAAGCTTTTTTTAATAGGCTAATAATGAAAGATTTTGATTATTGGAAATTATTTAAATCATCTGTAATTCTTTGAAATGAAATAGGTATATTAAGACTGGTACTTGGATAAGTAGTCACACAAAAAATGTTTAAGTCATGTTTTGATCTGTCTTAATTATGAAATACAGCCAATCTATGAAAGATGGAATATTTCAGAGGTGTTTCTGTGGGTAGGTGTCATCAAGTCAGTTCTGACTCATAGATAGCGACCCTGGGTACAACAGAATGAAACACTGTGCCATCCTCACAGTTACTGATATATTTGATTGAGGGTCTTCCTCTCTTTTGCTGACCCTCTACTTTATCAGACTTCATGCTTTGTTCTGGCAGTCCATATTATATTTGGTGTTCTTGGCGAACATCATAAGTCAAACGCATTTAAACCATTTCAGGAGGTAGCATATGATCAAGAACCGGTGGTGCCGAAGGAAGAAGTCCAAGCTGCACTGAAAGTGTTGGTGAAAAACAAGGCTTCAGGAATTGACAGAATTTCAAAAGTACATATGGGATTTATGTGTTTTTTGAAATGTATTTTAAAATTTAATATAGTATGTAACTATTGCATGCTGAAAAAGAGGATATATTGAATTACTTGTTCTTTAGTTTTTCTTGTGTGAATTTTACAGACAAGTTTGGATATCATTTTAGTTTTATATCATAAAGTCTTCCTTGACCATTTCTTCCCAGGATTTTTTTTACCAATTTATCATTTTACTGTTGTTGTTATGTTGTTATGTACCGTGGAGTTGAGTCCGACTCATAGCGACCCCTCCTTGGGTTTCTGAGGCAGTATCACTATGAAAGTAGATTGCCCAACCTTTCTTCCAAAGGGTGGCTGCTGGGTTTGAGCCGCCAGCCTTCTGGTTAGCAGTCAAATGCCTTAGGTACTACGCCACCAGAGCTCCCATCATCTTACTATATTACTCTTACTAGTTATTACCAGTTGTTGTTGTTAATGGTGTGTGTGTGTGTTTGCCTGAGTTTATGACTTAACTTTACCACTTCCTAGATGTCTGATCTCAGGCATCTTTTTAGCTGCTTGTGCCTTAGCTTCTTCATCGGTAAAATCAGGGGGAAAAAATTTCACTTATTTCATAGGCTTTTGAAGATTAAGATTAATACATGTAAGCACTTAGGAATGTGTCTGTCGCACAGAGAATGTTCAGTAAGTGTTGGCAGAAACCAAAACCTTATCTCTCCCTTTACCCTCCCCCTTGTCTCTAATCTGATTTGTATGCTCCTTGATAATAGGAATCTTTTTAATATATACATATATATTCCCTGTAGTGTAGCATAGAATGTACTACATAACTATTTCTTAAATGAGTGAATATATTTTTGACTGATAAATTGAAAATTATATCAGAATAATATCTAACATTTAAATTCAAAGAAACTCCAATTGTATCAATTCCATGCATGTATGGTTCACTTTGTAGCTTTCAAAGTACTTTAAAACATGCCCTTTTACTGATGTTATAGAGCATTTGGTAGAAATTGTTATCTCAACTTTATAAATGCAAAAACTGAAATTTATAATCTTGGGACTGTTTAATCTTTTAGAGCTAAAAATCATAGCATCTGCATTTGAACTCAGATCTTTAAACTTCCAAGTTGCTTTTTCCCCTCTATCTTATAACAGGCATTCACCAAGGTAGGTATAGGCATGGTTCAGTTGACCAAGTGCACCATAGTGCTGGTGTTGATGTAATATATGTGCTGAAGATGATGATGACACATGTGATCCTAACGTATGAAAAGAAAAGCAGACATCAAAGGTGCACAAATAGTTATTCTCTGAAAGAAAATGGCATTTGTGTTATTTAATTTTCTGATGGCATTAATAGAGGCCTGTGAAGGCCACCTGGGATTCCCTGTGAGAAAATAGTTTCTGAGTATTTGGGAAGGAGCAAAGCCATTTAATTTGCCTCTGCCATTACTGTCTAAAGGACCTCTGATAATACAGTGCCTAAGACATTTCATTGCTAACAAGATTGGCAGTTCAAACCCATAAGGCATTCTGTGGAAGGAAGTTGGGGTAATCTACCTCTGTAAAGATTTACTGCTTTGGAAAACCAGTGGGGGTCGTTATGAGTCAGAATCGACTTGATGGCAGTGAGCTGAGCTTACTACTGTCTAAGGTCCTATTCTCTTTATTTCAATTTGTCACCTCAATTAAGCTGTGTGAAAAAGAGTTTTTCACTTATCTGTGCTTTTATGAATCATCTAAGTATCAGATCCTTTGAACAGAGATTAGATAGCATATACCATTTAGAGCTAAGACAGTGTATAGTTGCATTTTTGTAATAAGTAAAAGAATCCTGAATGCCAGGTGTTTGTGGATGGTCAACCATCAAGTACTAATGAGGCAGAAAACACTTTCATATTTTAAAAAATTGGACAAGTTTATGATATTGCCCACTAAAGCCATCTGCCTTAGACAGCTGTGTCTGACTACAGCTCATGATGGCTCAGGCTGCTCTTTCCCCAAGACAGAATTGCTATCTAGGTTAGTAACATAGATTTAAGATTTTATGTTTCATGCAGCAGGTGGACTCACAGTGCAGAAGAAATATTATTTTAGTAATGCTGAATGTGGTGAATTCTTCCCTAAAACAAGAATGATGCATACTATCTAGGAAATTGATATAGTAAACGTATATGTGACTGTACAAGCCCAGAAATATATGGATTACAGCCAGTCCCTCCCTGTGGATTGGAAAAATAGATGCTTCTATAGTCATCCTCTGTCCCCTCACCCTGCTCCATTTTTCTTCACAGACCCTGACATCGTATTGTATTATATTCATTTCTGATTCGTTTATTGTCTATCTTGACCACTGGAACATAGACTCCTAGGAGCTTTGTTCACTACTTTTGTACTTGTGCCTGGTACATAGAAGGTGCCCAGTAATGTAGAATGAATGCATCATACATGAATGAAGGCTATTTTATATTTACATTTTATAGGCAAGATATAATTTAAACTTCATAAAAAAGGAACTTGCCAACCATAATTGTTTCCTTTCTCATGTACCATGTAGGATAATGCAGGGAGAAATGTACCTACATTCCTTCTTTTCATTAAATGAAGTGGAGACTACACCCTGAAGAACATGCTCTTAAGTAACATGGTAATTCAAGAAGATATGTATATACCTGCATTATCCAGAGATTTGTGGTAAAATGAAACAAGAAAACAAGCAGTTAAAAAAGACTTGTTGCAGATATGTGTTCTCTGGAAATGGACACTGAGACAGAGTTTGGGGTGAAAAATATTTATTATAAACAAACACCTGTGAAAGGAAGGAGTTAAAAAGCAGAATTGAGCAGAGAGAAAGGTATAACTGCAATACCGGCTTGACATAGCCTTGGCCACCTGATGCAGTCCTCTGGAACAAGTATGGCCTGCTTGGCTCTGTCCCTGGGTGCAGGCTGCCCTGGAAGGGAATACCTTCAGGCAAGGTGGCTTGCTGCAGGTGAGACTGAACCAGAAGGCGCTGACAGCAGCAGGCTGATTTGCTGGCTACATTCTTTCAGCTAGGAAGCAAGTCCTTCCTGAAAGAAGACTTGGGTGGTCCATATTCCTGACTAAGATATCTTATCTGAAGCCTGTAACCACTAAATTGTAAAGAGACACTATCTGCCTATTGCCTGAATCTGAAATGTCTAAGTAGATCATGACACAGCAATGTTTCTTGAGCATTAAAGACAATATTCCTCTTTAAAGACAAGGATTCCTTCTATAGATGATGAATCCTTAAACTGATGGAATTGGTTTGTTTTAGAAGCAGGTGCTTTTCAGAATATTTATTTGCTTTGGGGTTTTAAAAATATATTTAAAGTCATTCTTATTGTGTGCTCTCCCTCCCTCACTCCCCAGCTATCTTACCTGAACTGTGGTTTTTGCTAAACATAATCTTTCTCAGGAACATAAGTCCTGTAATTGGTGAGAGATCACTTCATCTTCCAAAACTTCATTTGTAGTTTATTTGAATTTGACATAGCTTTTCTTAAAGGAAAAAATTATGGATGTTATTTGGCTTTAAGGTTAGCCCACAAAATTCTACCTTCCCTATGTCTCTGATTCCTGAAATCTGAAACTTAGCCAAAGGCATGTTGATACTGGATATGGAGGATGTTGTGTTGTTGTTGTTATGTGCCAGTCGAGTTGGCCCCGACTCATAGCGACCCCTCCTTGGGTTGCCAAGGCAGTATCACTACAGAAGTAGATTGCCCAACCTTCCTTCCGAGGAGTGGCAGGATACTGGTGCTGAATTAAAGCTCTGACATTTTGTCAGCACCCATGATGGTTGGGATATGGAAGAATGTTCAGAGATTGAGGGTGGCAGGGAAGGAAGGCTCTGGTAGTAGGGAGGTGTGCTAGTCATTTCTGTTTCCAAATTCTCTGTGCCATTTGGAAACTGCCTGTATGTTCATGGTGGCTGTGCTGTAATTATGAGTGGTCTTTGTAGCTCCTTTCTCCATTGTGAAACTCAACAGAATCTCTGCAACTGTGTTCTGGCAGCAAAACACAGATGTGTCATTCTCCTCCCCCACTGAAAAAAAGATGGGAGGGAGCTGTGCGCTTTCGGAATTCTATTTTTAAATGCCCATCACTTCATTTC